GACTGAATGTCCCTTGTCCTTGAAGCAGAGCTCAAAGGAAAGCCCCGGGAAAGGGCTCTGCCCCAGCATTGGCTGAGGCTTGCAGGTCAAAATAAAATTTGAAATCATTACAAAAAAATAAAAACCAGTGCTTGATCATTACAACCTCCAGGAGTTTCCCTCCCCACCCTGAGTGCATTGACACATTCTCTGCACAGCCCCTGTGGACTAAAGAGGATTGTACCACGTGCATGACAAGCTAAGGAATCACAACCATTTCCATTCCACAGCTTTTGAAGCAGGACACAAGTGAGACAAACAGTCCCCCATGCCAGGACACTGTCACCACACCCCCTAAGGGACAGCTTGCATCCCAAACCCACCCAACCCAAACCTCATGGGTAATTCACCAGCACACTGCAAGGAGGGGGAGGAAGGAAGGGAGATGAATTTCATGTACATGGAAACCTTTTTGTACACTTAGGAATGGAGATGAACAGATTTAAAATTAACTGGCTGAGTTCACTGCTGGGCAAGTGATCTAAAATGGCCAATAAATAATTTATGCCAGCACCATCCATCACTGTGCAGCCCGGCCAGTGACACTGCCCATGTCGGGGGCTCGCTTGGTGAAATGAGACAACTTAATTCAGCACAAAGTGAATAACCCAAAATCCCATAAATGATTCATTGCTGGATTAAAAGCTAGAGATTTCTCCATAAATTTCTCTGCCCTGCATTAAATATGCAGATGATTGTGTGATGTTTATTAACTACTGGTGGCTTAGTTAAGGATGACACCGGCTCTGGTGTTTGAGAGCACCTTTGAAGCCGTGAATCTTCATTAGATGTGCATTTAAGCATGAAGAGGGGTTACCTACCAGGATTCAGTGTTCACTTACATCAGTAGAACTGTAGAAAATGTATATGAGATAAGAGAGCCAGGCCGTAGTATACTGTGTTTTAGAAAACATAAATGTAGACAGGAAGGACCATGAGGACATTGGATTTATTCCCTAGTTTAGATTACCTACCATACACTTCTCCTAGGTATTAAAAAATACCAATCCCCTCCTTTTTTTTCTAGATACCTAAAAAAAGAAGCTGCATTTTGAAATAGTCAGAGAACATTCTGCTTCTTTCTTCTAAATAATAATTTTAAAAAAAAGTTATTTTGGGAAGTGGTAGATTTCCCTTCCCCTTGGAGAAGGGTCAGTTCTTGAAAGACTAAAGAAAGGCAATGAACTTTTACCAGAGATAATTTTCCAGCACCTTCCTCCCCAATCCTTCCACTGGTATTTGCACACTCCAATTTTCCTCTCTCTTCCCAGTGTCCTCATGATCTTTCCAGTCTCAGTTTCAAACTACTTGGAGCTCTTTAGCTGAGGTTAGAAGTCCTGTGAGGAGAGGGAGGGAGCTGGGGGTGTTCAGCCTGGAGAAAAGGAGACTCAGGAGGAACCTTCTTGCTCTCAGCAGCTCCCTGAAAGGAGGTTGTGTCCAGGTGGGGATCAGGCTCTGCCCCCAGGAAACCAGCAACAGGACAAGAAATGGTACCAAGCTGCACCAGGGAAGGTTCAAGTTGGACATCAGGAAGAATTTCTTCACTGAAAGCATTGTTGGGCATTGGAAGGGCTGCCCAGGGAGGTGGTGGAGTCCCCATCCCTGGAGGTGTTGAAGGAACTGTCCCCCAGTGCTCTGGTGTGGGTGACAAGGTGGGATCAGCCATGGGTTGGACTCGGTGATCTTGGAGATCTTTTTGAGCCTCACTGATTCTGTGACTCTGCACTACAGGGTGAGGAAATGAGGGTTCTCTGTGGGAAGCCCCACTCCAATCAGTGTTCCTCTTAGCTCCTAAACACCCTCCAGAGTGATTCCTTGGAGAGCTCCTTGCCAAGACCCCCGTCCTGATGGACTGCAGGAGGGAGTGCAGGCTGAGATGAGCTGTGAGTTTGTGTAGGGCTGACATCTCCTTTCCCAGGTCACTGCTTGCACAGTGTGATTGCAGGAGCTGCTGAGTCTTGGGGTTTGTGTTTTAAATTAGCAAGGGAAACCAAAACCACCCTGCTCCCAGCTGGGGTTGGACAGCGGCGGGAAGAGGAAACCAAGAATTGCGTGCTCACCCCAGCCTCAGGAGCACAAGAAAACCAGGGGGTCACTGAGACTGGCAGGAAATTGTGTTGCTAGAGGCAGAGCCCAGGCCAAGTGTGCTGAAAGCATTCCCTGGAGCCATGAGCTGAACTGCTGGCTGGGACCTCCATCGTCACTGAGGAGGCTGCATTGATTCTGCTTGGAGTCAGCAAATCTGCATCACCTTTACAGCCTCTTCTCATCTCTCCAGATGTTTCTCTGCTCAGTCTTTGCAGCTCAATTTTGCCATCTGCTGTCATGTCTGTGGCAGCACGTCCTATTTCCTCTTTCTATTAGGCTAAAATTTTCCACTTTTTCATGCATTCATCTCACACCGTGTGGTTATCTCTGTTCTTTCCTCAAGTCCCATGATGCTATTTATTCTTATTTCTAATTTCCTATGTACTCAGCCACATTCTTCCCTTCTGCTTGCTCTTTCTTAAGCCCCAATTACATTTCACCTTTGAAACCAAGAGATTTATTTATCTTATCCTTAAAAAATGCCTGGAAAAGCACATTAAGGCTAAGAAACAAACCTGGAAACATAATGAAATGTGCTGTTGAGATGGAAAGGAACCATGAGAACAGTCAGCTCCAGTAAAGTCTATTAAGAGAGGTCTCTTATTAATCTCAAAATGATATTTAATTCATTCCTCTGGTTTCTCTTTAAAGGATTTGTATTCCTAACTCAGCACTTGCCTTTCTTATTTTATGTCCTCCTGTTTCCTCATTAGTCAATCCCATATCCCAAAATATTAAAATCTCCCATTTTAATTGCTTTTCTGTACCTCCTCCATACTAATCTGGCAGTTCAGTCATTATCTCCTCACGTCAGACCTCCTTCACCCTCTTTAATCGGGCATTTTGATACAGACACTTGTCCACAAAGTACTGGGGACCAGTAAAAATTATTACTTGGACCAAAAGCTAAATCCTTCATTAATTAACCGCCTTGCTCCACAGAGCCAAGCCAGACTCTCCAGATATAACAACATTTAGGCTTGACATGGACTCCAAACAAATTAAAACCTGCTTTGCTCTGCCGCAGCCTCCCTGTGCAAGCCCATAAATGCTGAGATAACTCCAGCAGCTCCAAGTGCTGGGGAGAGGCTCACACCTGGGTCATTTCAGCTCGTGGTGCTTGGCAGTTTGAGGGGTGGTGGAGGCCAGGATGGAGGGACTGCAGTTTTGGGGAAATGCAGGGTGGTTTTAAAGCAAATGGCTTTGCTTCTCTGCCCTCTGTGTATTGCTTTAATCTGTTACCAGAGGGTTTTTTGGCTAGAGTGCTTTATCTTAACTCAAGTGTATTTTTTTTGCCCTCCAAGGTAAAAGTCTTAAAATAAAGGCCAGCATTTCCAGATGCCAATGACATCCTCTCTCACAGCCTTTTCTTTCTAAAAACTTGCTGCTTTCATCCAGTTTTTCTCCACTAGACCCAGATGACTGCGTTCTGAGGCTTCAGTTGATTTTGGAAAGCAGCATTTCCTCCAGCTACATTTAAAAGGCTCACTTTAACCTTTCCCTGAACATACTGACAGCCCCAGTCCTCACAAATAACTCCAGTGAATTTTCATTTAAATATAACCCTCCCCAAATCTTTGCCTCCAATTGCCATTCTAAACTCAAAGCTCTGCCTCAATAACTGGGCTGAACAAAAAGATAAATAAGAATGCTCAGTGGTATAAGTTACACTTACAGCTTCCCTGCAGCTTCTCAGGGCTGTATTTCCACATGGCTGATCAGATCAAACTCACTTTGTTGGCTCCCATCTCTTCTCCCCTTATACAACTCCCCAAAACCAGGGCTTTTAAGTCCAGCCAGCACCACAGCAAATGTGCTAGAACCTTCCCAAGTGAGAGCCAGCTCTGCTGTAATGAAGTCATTAGTGAAGAGCTAATTAGCAAGAGCAAAAGTATTGGCCCAACTCTGCCAATTGGAAGCTGCAATGGAGATATTGTTGACTTAATTATCAGGTTTAATTGGGTGGAGGAAAAAAGGCAAAAAGAAAAGTTTGTGTTTTTTCAAAGGACTACGTCAATACTGTTTGGGATTTTCTTTTTTGCTTGTTTCCTTTTATTCCTCACAGGTTTGTGTGGGATTCATGCCTAGAGGTGCCAGGTCCCTGTGCTCTGCGCTGGGGTGGTGACAGCCACAGGCACTGGTGGGGGACAGACACAGTCTGAGCTGAGCAAACCCAGCCTGGGAGCCCACAGGCCACGTTCCCTGTCTGGGGACTCTCCTGTGCCTCCCACAGCACCACCAGAGCAGGGTGAGGGCAGGGCTCTGAACCCAGGACACACCGAGGGGCACCCCAGAGAGGAACCTGCCCTGCCTGCCCAGCTCACTGGGAGAGGCTGCTGCAGGGTTCAAGAGTCTCACCACAGCCCTGAGCAAGCCAGAGGGGAAATCCAGAGCTGCCAGACCCTGCTGGCTTCTGATCCAGTGCTGTTCCCACAATGTGCTCTGACTTCAGGCTCTCATTGCCCAAGGTGCCGAGGCTGGCGCTGGTGAGCTCCAGGCAGTGGAGAGAATAAACCCTTCATGGACTGGGATCTTGTCCCAGAGTCACTGCAGCAGAATGGGTGAGGAGCCCAGGGAATTACACAAAACCTCTGCAGTGTATCCCATCGATGATCCCCCAGCCTCCATGGACAATCCCTCTTCCGTAACAGATTTAGAAATGACTGGAACATGGATTTGTGGGGGCAGAGTAGGGCAATTTCCCTCTAGGCTGGTCTTCTGGGCATTCTCCCACCTCTCCTAATGCTGCAGTATTTCTTTGGAGAGCTGAGACAGCACACCACTCATTTCCACACCTGGGAAATACCTAACTCCTGTTGAAATGCCTTAGGATGTGGCATAAAAAGTCCAATTGCCAGCAAAGAATTACAGAGTTTATTAACATATTCTCCAAGGGTTATTCAAACATGCTGAATCACAGGCTGTAGTGATAACCCTTAAGTAATCTGCATTTTTGATTTAAACTCACAGCATTCTTGTTGCTTAATTTTTCTGTTGATTACATAAAAGCATTAAAATCTGTATTTTATGATTCCTTTTCTTTATGGCAATTTGAAGATAGGCAGCCTTCCATGTGATCTCTTCTGTTCCTCGGAGTACAAGTTGTATTCAAGGAAGAGCATTAGTAAAAATGGAGAAAAACAAATTCAATTGTGCAACACGGTGCTAGTAAGAAGGCAGATGCCAGAAGTATCCATGAATAATGCATAAAGCCCCTTCTCAAATAAGCTTTTTTATGCAGTGAGTTTTATGGGAAAATTTGCACAAAGATTTTAAATTTTCATAGTTGAAGCTTTGGCCTTTGTTTTGTACCCGCTGATATTTTGAGGGCTCACAATTGTCTCTCAGTGCAGCTTGGAACAGGCCCTTTTTATTTCCCATGGCATCTGCAGGTAATGTAGGAGCTCTTCACAGGGAAAAAATGTTGTTTTCTCCTTCAGCACCACTGAAAACTTTGTCATTCTCTTCTGGTGGTCCAACACTGCAGTGAGAAGCACAGATCACTATGGATGGGGCAAAAAGACATTGCTGCTCCAGAGCATTCTTTCTTATTTGTAACATCAGCAAATTCCCATGGAAATGGAAACCTGAAGCTACTGAGCCCAATGATGCAATGAACTAACTCCTACTTTTTACAGCAGGGAGGTTTTTACCTGGCTTGCATTCTTCTCAAGGATAGGGAAGGGTTGTTTGGACCCTGAAATGGCAGCTGCAGGGTAACCACCAGAGTCTCTCCCCAGTCCCTCTCTCCATGTAGAGCAAGCAGTGAAGGACCAGCTACCACTGAAAAATTATTGCTCTTTGGAAAAGGGGTGATGCAGCCCTGAACTTCTCTTTGTTTTGCCCACTGAATTATTTTTTTTTCAAGATAAGCCGGAAGATATGAACTTATCAGTTACATTTGCACAAGGTATCATGTCCTGGTACTCAATCAAAAAGAAAAGCAGATGAAGCACTTCCTTAAGCTGTAGTCACTACACTGCAGTAACAGTTGCTTAATTTCTCCATTGCTCTGTTTCTGTTCATTCCTACACAGAAGCAGCATCCAGGAACCATTATTGAATTTCTGGAGTGAAGAGACCTGAAGTTTCCTCCTAATACAGCTTTGGTAATCAGCACCACAAGCCAATACTGCACCCATTACAATCAGTGGCCAATGTACCTTCCTGTCTCTAAGAAAAATTACACTGGAACTTTTAATAGGAAATTACAAAATGGATTACCTTTTTACTATAAACTTCTTTGTCTGTTTACCTGGAAGCAAAATAATATTAATGTTACAACAGTAAAATGAAATCTATAATTCCAATGTAACTGTCAAAAGAGCTAAGAAGCAATGATAGCAGGTTGCAAAATTTCTGTGGGCTAATCATAAAGAAAGGATCCCATCCTGATTTCAGTTACACCATTGTCTTTTGGGAGCATTTCCAGGAAAATTATGGAGCCACTTAAGTATAAAGAGAGAGCCAACAGGATGAGCCAGCCCTGCAAGAAGTGAGGGAACAGGTTCTTTGCACAGGCTGCCTCCTGTGCAAATCAACTCATCTCCCTGGCCCCCTAATGCTGCACAGCCCTGGAGTAAGGACAGCAACTCCCACAGAATGAACACAGCACTGGCACCAGGACCGTGGCAGAGCACCCAGAACAGCCAGGGACTCAGGAGGACACGTGCATCAGGCCAGCATTGGAATCATTTAGCTTCAGGATACTCACGTTTCCAAACCAACGAGACCATCAGTAAGAAAAGGATGGACCCCACTAGGACACAGGCAATGAGAATGGCAGAGCTGGGAAACTGGAAGGGAGAAGAGAGAGACTGAAAAGGCTTTGGGAGCACATTTCCTTCAGAGCTATTTGCACAGGGGGGGCTGCACTGGTGCTCAGAGCACTGGGCTGCAGTTGGCAATGCTGTTCTGAGCTTGCCTGTGCAAGGTGCTGGGAAGACACTTCGAGCTGATCATGATAAACAATTAATTACCCTTTCAGTATTTAATAAACCTTACTCTGAAATATTGAGACCAGATTCAGCTTATTCCACATGAACTTCTCAATAAGGTGCCCAAAGTAGAAGTAGGAGCTCAGTCACCCCCATCCTCCTCTTAGAGACAGGGAGGTGTAACACCCTCCTTCCTGACTTGCCTTTTACCTCGAGGATGTTACCTCCCCTCTCTCACAGGGATGCCAAGGGATCAGTTTTTTCTGAGGTGTCCAAATCAGATGGAATGCTCAGGCTTTGGCTCTAGCCACTGAAAAGATGAACAGGTAGTTCCTGAGCTTCTAAATAACAGTTCAAGCCACTGTTTGCAGAAGCTCTCCCTGTAGCAGGAATACACTGAAAAACACTTGCGTGTCCTGCTGCCCTGATTTCTACTCAAACACTCTTGAAACTTACAGGAAGTTTTACCTTATCTCCTCTATCTTCATATTTCCCAGCACTGCCATCTGAATTTGCTGAAACCTCTGAAAATGAAAGAGATTGAAATTATTACTGGCACAGCCACCTGAAGGAGTGAGGGCTGCAGTGGCTGTCACTGCTTCAGTCGAGGAGTAATGAACTCTCAGGGAAGGAGAAGGGCAAAAGCACCCTGCAACCAGAAGAGAAGGATCAGTTTCCTCCACAAATGGTGGCTGAGAAAGCCGTGGGAAACCCCAGCCTTCATCAAGAAGGAAAACCCAGGGACACCTTCCACATCCCAGGTTACTCCAAGTCCCGTCCAGCCTGGCCTTGGACACCTCCAGGGATGGGGCAGCCACAGCTTCTCTGGGCAACCTCTGCCAGGGCCTCCCCACCCTCACAGGGAAGAATTTTTCCTAATATCCAATCTAAACTACCCTCAGTCAGTTTGAAGCCATTCTCTCTTCTCCTGTCACTACATATTCTTGTAAATAGTGTCTCTCCAAGATATAATCCCATTGCTTTTTTTTTTAACTTTTCAGAGTATGTTATGCCATTAATAACCTAATCTGCCCCAAATATCTCAGTTTTGACCAGTCCCCTGTGAGAGCTGTGTTGATGTGTCTCCACATCCCCTGTGCTTGTATTTTATCAAAGACATGGACAGGGCATGGGTAGCCCATGCCAGTGTGAGTAGAAATTTGTACAGGAGTAGAAAATAGATTATGACTAATAAGAACTCCAGCTAAATAAAATACAGGTGATAAAACCCTAAGAAATACTAAAAATCCTGGGGATGTGTGAACACTGCATTTTGTCATGTCTGTTTAATGACACTCCACTCTCTCAGAGCACTGTACTTCAGAACTACCCCAAATCCACAAGAAATGCAGATGTAACAGGTCCAACAAGTCAAAGTTAAATTTTATGGCAACATGTGCAGCCTGGGTGATGGGACCAACTATTGCTGCTCACTTTGATACTCAAAAGAGCAAAGATATTTTTGGGGTGTGAAGTGTGGCTGGTTCTGGCAGGGTTGTAGCTGGGGGAAAGCAAGTGAAGAGAGAAGAGACATTATATCAGAGCCATTAGATCAGAGCCATTAGATCAGAAATTGCTTGAGGAGCCATCCACCCCAGGCACACCAACCTATCTGCCAAAAATTGCTCTTGGAGATGGAGGGCTCTTAACCCTGGGTTTCTCTCCAGCTGTTCTAACATCAATGTTAGAATGTTCAGCAACAAATCAGCCTTCCCTTGCCTTACAGCAAGCCTGAGCTGGGTGCATTTAGTGCATTATTTCTCAGAGTGAACGAAACAGAGCCAAGAACTGGACTTGGCTTATGGCTCTCCACCAGCAAATTGTGCTGCAGCATTTTCACACCTTGTGACAGTTCAACACAAGGTTTTGTACGGGTGGGAGTGACTCACACCAACAGGGTACATCTGCTGCTGTTGCTGCTGCTGTGGTGGCTTTTTCCAGCTCATTATCACAACTCAAGCTGCCCCAAGAATCCTGGAGCTCAGACCCTTTGTAAAACTTGATATTTACAATGACAAAATACAGGCATTATCCATCACCCCAGAGGGGAGACAAGTGAGACTGGAATGAGAAACCCTCACAAATGTTCAAGAGACCAGTTTAGTCTCTTCTGTGAGCCCTCTCCAGGGGCATTAAGGAACATTCTTTCTGCTGTAAGTCTTTAGGTCTATCAAAAGAAGACCTGCAAAAATCAAAATACTGTGGGTTTGAAAATTAAGAGAGTCATGGCTCTTACTGGAACTAAGAGTCCAAATACAATATATCGTCCTTGAATTTTAGCATTAAATTCTCTGCTGAGGGCACAACACTTGGGAAAGATTTAAAATGGAAATCTCAATGGACTCATAGTGATGACAAATCAGATATCTGAGAATTCAGCCATGTTGAAAAGTTTGGGTTTTGACTTCTCTCAGACCTGAAATACCTGACAATCATGAGTTATTCAAAACCAACTTCCTTTGGAGGTATAAAAACATGCTTTTCTCAGCTGTTGTTACATTGTGATTTCAAACAATTTCTGTGTGGACCCTGGATAATGCCAGCTGCAATGAATAATCATCAGTACGTGTTTGGTGCACTCTTAAGAACACTCAACAGTTTTGTTGATGCCAACTTTTTAATTTCTCTGAGCAAGCAACTTCTGACCTTGTAATGTTCTCCTACTCACCCCTGACTGACATTTCTTCCATCAGGACAGAGGTGGTGGTTTCCTCTGCACTTGGAAGTGTACCTTGGAATTCAGTAGGCACTGAAACAAAGTAAAAAGTAATGCTGATAAAGATCACTAATTAGAAGGGTCTCCACGTGGAGACCCTTCAAATCTGTGCAGACATCAATCTGTGGAAAGGAAGTCAGTAATGTGGATGAAGTAACAACCCACAAATGGTTTAACAGATCACTCTGATCACTAATAACAGCAGCAGCCTTCATATGAGATGAGAATGTAAACACTCAATTTTAACATGTTTTGAATTGTCACTATTTCTCAAGCAGAACATTCTCCAAACTAAACTTTCCACCAGGCAATTTCAATTGTCTTTCCCAAATCAAGAAAAAAATTAGTGCACAGTTCATTGAATCTCTCTTACACCACTTCAGGTGCTGGGCTTCACATTCGTTTCTGTTGTACTTCATGAGGTTCCTGCCACATTATTTCTCCATGTTAAAGCTCCTCTGCAGGAAGCCTGACCCTCTGCTGCCTTGGCTGTTCACCCCAATTTAGCATCATCTACAACGTCTGACCTGCGTTTGCCTAAACCCCCTGAAACACACCCGTAGGCATCTCAGAGAGAACTCCCCAGATATAAATATGAGCATTTGGAGAGTCTCTAGAATGCCAGACAGGCTAACACAGACCACCTCTGCTCCACAGAAAAAGGGAAGGATTGGTGCTGGTTACCCTCTGCGCTTCCAGGGAGCGTGGAGCAGAACATGTCATCTTCAGTCATCACATCAGCTGCTTGGGAAGTGGTTGGAAAATCTGGGAGAGCACTCATTTCCACCACAGTCAAAGGAAAAATATAATTTTCTGTCCCAGCAATTGTTGGGGGAGCAGAGGTCTCCCCTGTAGTTGCTGCTGGAGACTTGGGGGCTGTGGTTGCTGGTGGAGGGGTGCTGGTTGTCAGCAGGACTGTAGTCTCTAGTGTTGGCTGGAGATCAGAGGTTGCCTGAGGAGCAGAAGTTGTTTCTCTAAAATGTTCGGAGAAAATAGGAGCTTCTGTGGTGGTGGTGGTGGTGGTGGTGGTGGTGGTGGTGGTTGTGGTCACTGGAGGTGCTGCATGGAAAAAACACAGCCAAGGGAAAACCCAGGTCAGATCATTCACAACCAACCCTGAGGGAAGCCAATGCAGAAATTAATAAAAATTATCTGGCTGCTAAAATACCGAAAATGAAGGTGGGAGAGTTACTATTTTAACTAGCTGAAAGCATGACCAGTCTGAGAAATTCAAGATTTATAGATTTGCTTTTCTTTTTCCAGTCTCAAACACTCCCTCCTTAACCATCTTGTAGAAATGGAAGGGCCAGAACCTTGTGTGGTAGAACCCCAAAGCTTGAAAGCTTTGTTATTTTGCTTCTCAATGTCCTCATAAAAATACAATTAATAAAACAGCTCTGTTTTTCAGCTACAATCTTCTTGCTAATTTTTGCACCTGGTTCTTTTTTCATGGCCTGTTGCCCTCAGCCTCAGGGGCAGACAAGCAACTGCAGCATTTTTCACCCTCTCTCCTATTGTATTGTTTAAAAAAGACAAACAAATGTGCTGTGAACACCAATTGCGCTCTGTAAAAGCCAGAAAAAAAATGTTTTTCTGCTTTGTGGAGGGTATCATCTCTTTTTTTTTTTTTTTCTGTGTAGGACTTTGCTTTATCCTGCAGCTCAGGAAAATAATAGGAAGGGGAAGAAGCCCTTCAAGACTCTGAGAATTTCCAAATATGTGGATGTTGAGGACCCACCCTTAAGGGGAAGGAAGCACCCTTAAGGGTGGACCATCCTAATGTGTCTCCTTACAACATGAATGAAACTAAAGTCTTCAGTGTTGGGGTGAACCTCAAATGAAAAGCTGAATTTCATTCCAAGGGCTCCTTAAATTATAAATCCCTTTTTAATTCCATCATCTTTTAAAAATTCAAGCTGAGCTACACAACAAGAAATGAAATATTCATTTGAAAGGCAAAAAAAGGGTAAAATTTAGGGAGTTTTTTTAGTTTAAACTTCACATTGACTGTGAGTCAAAAAAAAAGACTGGATGTGGTACTCAGTACCATGGTTTAGTTGAGGTGTCAGGGAACAGGCTGGACTTGATGATCTTGAAGGTCTCTTCCAACCTTGTGATTCCGTGTGAATTCTGTGATTCTGTGATCTCCCTTGAAAAATATGTAATCTGGGAAAAACACCTTTGGCCAAAACAAACCAAAAAAGCGCAGATAGACCCTGATTTTCCCCACCCAGGGAGTGGATTGTCCCTGCTGGCCGTGCCCCCAAGGTCCCCAGACCCACCTCTGGCCACCTCCAGGCGAACGTTCCGTTTGATGTCGTTGAAGAGGCCGGGGATCTCCACCCGGCAGCAGTACACGCCCGCGTCCTCCGCCCTGGCCGCCCCAATGGTCAGCGACACGTCTCCGAAGGCAACGTACCCGCGCAGGCTGTACCTCTGGGATGCTCTGAACGTCACCTCGGCGCCGCTGGTGTGCAGGATTTTGTTAGTGCACTTTGAACTGGGGCAGGGGCCCCGGCCCCAGCACATGTCGGAGATGCCCTTGCGCCGCGTCACGCGGTAGGAGCAGGGCAGTGTCACAGGCTGTCCCTCTGTCCCTCTGACAACGGGGTCGGACACCGTGTGTGCTGTCAGGAGAAGGAGCACAGGGGAGTGCTGTCAGCTCTGAGGGTGACTCTGCCCACACAACACAGTGAGTGAGCAATGGGTGAGCAAACACTCCTTCCTGCAGGCCACAGCTGCTGATCCCCAAGACTTCTCCTGCAGCTCGTGCCCCAAGGCACTACAGGCAACAGCCAGGAGCTCTCAGGCTTTGCTTTGCTTTGCTCCTTGCTCTGGTCCTGGCCGGCTGCTCAAAAAGTACATCAGACGTGGTGAGCAAAGCTAGGGTCTATCACTGGCAGCCCAAGCACAAACTGGACCTCAGCAAATGGAATTTGAGAACTCTTCTCCCATCCTATCTCCTCTCCTAGGAGGCTGTTTGAAAGTTGTTCAGAACCCTGTTGTGAAAGACATCTGGTTTTCTCAGTCCACCATCACCTCCTTCAAAAAGGAAATGCTGTCACAATTGCCTTTCACTGACAGTCTCAAAAGCAGGGTCCAAAATACTTATTCATGTGTGAAATTAGGGCCTAATTAAACTGGCACAGCAGTGGGATCTGTCTGTAGGAACCTGTTCTCAGAAAGTGCACTGAGCAAGCCCTGCCAACCAATCCCACTTACTTGTGGAACTCTGTCTACAGAGAAACTTTAGTTGTTGGTGTTATACTGATTTTAAGAAGAGCACATGCACACTTTCTTTGTCCTCTTACTCTTAGTGACCAGCTTAGGTCCATGTTTACAGCCAGTACTCACCTTGGCATCTGGTCTTAATATTTGCAATATTTGCAATATATTATTCCCTCTTAACAGTTTGTGATGTTCCTAGATTGCCTTAAACTAGAGATTTCTTCTTCACAAAAGGCACTACACAAAAAAGTTCCCAGACAGGAACAAATCTTTCCTGGTTTACATTCACCTGGTCTATGTCAGTCTTCTTCCTACCTTTCTTCTACCCCCATAATATCATTTACACACTATGGAGCAGGAACTGAGGGATCTGGGGGAGCAACCAGACCTGTCCTCCAACCCTGCAGATCTGATGTCTCATGGCCAGCTTGCTCACCCCAAAGAGGAATTGCTGCTGCTGCTGCTGCTGCTATTATCACCAGCTTCGGCCCTGGTTTGCCAAACATTTCTATTTTGCCAGCTGTTTGAATGCCTTTCCTTTTTGGCACAACTCCCAAGGAGCAAACAGATGCTTCCAACTGTGTCCATGTCTCTTTTGTTTTCTCTTTATTGGTCTATTCCCTAGGTGAGGCTTTAGTCTGTGGCAGGCTGCCTCATGACTTGTTATTGGGATGACATTTCAGATGTGTTATTGCTTATCCCACTGGCAAGAGAAGCCAACCCATTCAGGTTTCCACAGCTCCAAATGCTGAAAGAACAGAGGCAGACAAAACAACAGGCAATATGGCATGAAGGGCAGGAGCTTCTGCAGAGAAATGAAGGCAGGAGATGCCAGAAACTGAATTCCTGAATACAGGATAAGGCTGTGAGAGATGGTGGCTTTGGCCCCTGGAAAGGGAAGGTTCATTTGCCTTGAAACAGCAAAACAGAGAAAACAGCTTCTCTGTATGGAGAAGTCATGCAGTTGACCTTGAAAGTATTTCTGTGAGAGCAAGGGGTTAGTCACGAGTAGGTTAACACATTCTTTCAAGAAGGTCCATCAAAGATATGTGCAAAACCAGCTAAAACTGTTAGAATTCAGGTCACTGCTTCTTGAGGAGGAATGGGCTCATCTTCTGCTATTTCAGCCCATTTCTGCACAGCACAAAAGCAGCCTCATTAAGCAATCCTTTAACAAATGAAAAGTTGCCTGCTCTTCTCTTTGAAAGAAGCAGAGTCCTGAACTCAGTAAATAAATAACTAAGTAAAAAATTTGAAAGAAGAAGAGGAAAGACAGGAGGCACCAGAGTGTCTTCAGTGCAGTTTCCCTCTAGTATTCCTGTTAGAAAGTTACAGGTTTTGCAGTTTCAAATCCTCTTTCAATTTCTGTGAAGCTAATGTTGCCAACATCTGCCTGCACTGCAGGCTGCTGAGGAGAGCTTCAATACTGCAGCAGCCTGGATTGAACAGCATGAATCTTTATTTAATAAGGATTAAATAACTTACTTCTCAGGTGCAGCCTCTTCTACAGACTCATTTTCCGAAGGAAATAGTAAATAGGAGGGAATGAACATGTCTTTGAAATTAGGAGCTTCCTGAGACCCTGGAGGGGAATCCTGCCCCTCTCCATGGCCCCGACCTTCCAGGCATCCAGGTCTGACCCAAGGCTCTGCCTGCCTGTTCCCACTGAAGTCTGTGAGGTCACTCTTAAGTCCTTCACTAGTGAGAGAGAAATGGACTGCAGATGTTTAATATCCCCTCCAAAATAGAAAGGGATATTCATGATTGGTCAGATCATACAAGTATACTCATATTTGTGTACAGTCTCCCTCAAACCCACCCTCAGGGGCAGCTGGCACTAAGTAGTAATTCCAGTAGTTGCTCCTGTAGTTGTCTTCTCTCCCACAAACTGGTCATTGAATGGACAAAAGCATTCATCCTCCAGCCAGGAAAGATGTTTGATAAGATTTTTTTTTCTTGATCTCTTCCTGGAATAATTTCCTACTTTGTGGAAGATATTTAGAATCTTTGACCTAACTATCCTTTTTATTTTTATCCTTACTGAAGCTTCTTTACTGATGAGATTGCAAAAGGTATGACTGATAAACAGGAAAAAAAAAGCATTTAACTGGCTATTGAACCTCAAGACAACTCATTCTCAGCATGGAGCTGAGTTAAAGAGCAGAAAACAAAAAGCCATTCTCATCCTTCAGGAGCTCTGCAAGGGAAGAGAGAACAAGGGAACTAGCACAGAGGAAACTGCGCACATTTTTTAAAAGTGAAAAAACCACAAACCTCAAGCAGTATTAACTCATAAATAAGAAAATTTTTGAAGTTCTATATACAATTATGATCTTTTTCGCTGTTTTGTTTTCACAAAAGAGGTGTTGCTGGTTTTCATTTGAAAACAATGTTAGTTTCCTGAGCAAACACACAAAAAGCAGGTGAAGACTCACCTATAAAGATCTGTATCATCATCCAGTGAAACAGCACAAAATGGGACATTCTGGCTGACAGAGACACCAGGGCAGCGAGTGGAAGAAGAGGAAACCAGATCGTATCCTTTCCTGAGTCCGAGTGAGCCCCACTGAAATCTCATTTCTCCATTTCCAGATTTTACATGCTGCAAGTGTTTCTTTTCTACGCTTCCGGATAGGAACTGGCCAAAGAGGGGATCTCCTGCTGTGCTCAGGGCTCTGCAGCCCCACTTGGGGCACTCTGGGCACTTCTGGGCCACACAATTTAAGGACATTCAGGTACTGCAGTGAAGAACCAGAGGACACAGTCTCAGGTTGCATCAAGGGGAATATAGGATGGATATTAGGAAAAAGTTTTTTACGTAAAGAGTGATAAAGTTCTGGAATGGCTGCCTGGGGAGGTGGTGGAGTCACCATCCCTGGGTGTGTTTAAAACAAGTCTGGATGTTGCACTGGGTGCCAGGGTTTAGTTGAGCTGTTTGGGCTGGGCTGGACTCGATGATCTTGAAGGTCTCTTCCAGCCCAGTGATTCTGTGAATTCTGTCAATGTGCTCAGACGAGGCCAGCTGAGCAGGGGCTGGAATGAACGTCCTGTGAGGAGCAGCAGAGGACTCCAAGATGGAGAAAAGGGGGCTGAGAGGAGCTCAGAGTTCTCTGCAGCCTCCTGAGGAAGGGACATGGACAGGGAAATGCTTATCTCTCTGCCCTGGTAGCCACTGACATTCCAGTGTCAGTGGATGATTCCAAGCTCACCAGGAGGGTTTGCACAGGACATTGGGAAGTATTTAGTGATAGGGCAGTAAACCCTGGAACACTTTTCACTTTTCCTCTTCCAAGACACTCAGCATGGTGCTGTCACCAGAAATTTCAATATTCTTTTTGCTTTGCCATTCCTTGGAAGTCGTAAGGCCCAGTTCTGTTCCAGGGTCCTGAGTGGCAAGAACAAATTCTGTGCTTTTACACCCCTAAACATTTGGCATAGTCTCCCCTCAGACTTTGTCTTCACTTACATTTGCTTAATCCCTCATTTCCCATGCTTCTTTCTGAAGACCCCTCTCTTTCCCCAGCTTCATTTTCTGTTTGCAAAGACAGCCTTGGAGGAAGTTGTTGCAAATATTTTGTTGCCAAAACCACATCCTTCCCAAAAAAAATGCAACATCATCTTCAGGAAATACATTTCACTCCTTCTGACTGTTTTATTTCTTTCTGACCAATTGACAAATAAGTTCTCTGGAAGTTCTTCTCTGGAACAGCTGAGTAATAAAGCAAAAGTAATTCAGGGCAGTAAGGTCAGGAATGAAGAACTGCAGATAGACAAAATGCTGTGCAAATAAATATAGCACAGTGCAAATGAGTGCAATTCCAAGTTCAAATGATAAAATGATGGGCTGTTAACCAGGCATTACATTTTTAGTAATGAGATTTTGGGCTTATCATGATAGTCAAGCCCAAGAAAATATCACCCTTCAGCTTGCTAGCACTGAAAAAAGCAAATAAAATGTTAGCAGTAAAGGTAATGAGTAAAATACCTAATTTGCTATATTCTACCAGGTACAGTTCATACAATGGCCAGCCTCAGCTGCTCTGTGAACAGAACTAATGAAAGCTGAGGTATCCAGTATCCTGGAGATTTTTTCCCTGCAATGACCATAGTTTTTCCCATTACTGACCACCCAGCAGTGGCTGTGAGATGATGTCCAGCTGATGTCAGTGCAGGGAGCAGTTGAATCTCACATGGGGCACAAACTTGGGTCATTATTCAGCTACAAATTCCCATGAAGCTTCTCCAGACAGAGCTGGACAGTATGTCACAGGCAACCAGGAAAGGCACAGGATGAACACAGCATCCTATCAGCTTTGTTTTTCTAGCAAGGCTGGGCCAGCAGCAGAGTGCATTGGAAAAGGCCATCCAAAATCCAAGTGTGCTGGGAAGAACCACGAACACATGGGGCACTTTCTGCTTTTGTACTGCTATCTAGTGGCTTCTTGCAGGCAGAAAAGGCAGAGGTGTCTCAAAAGAGGTCTCTTTCAGCTCATCAGCTCAGTGTCTCAGTGTGCTGCCAGACAATCTCCTGATGGCTGAATGGCTTCCAAGTGCCACCTGCTTGTGTCTGAGGCTCATTTTGAAATGCCTCTTCCAAGATCCACTGACAAGTGCAGGTAGTGAAAAGCCCAGGGAGCTCCTGCCTTTGTGGATGTGTATTACACTGCATGTCCAAGGCAAAGTTCTTGCTCCACACTACCTTTGCAAAGTCTGTTTACCAAGCAGTTGCAGTGCAGAAAGATTTTGCTTGATTGAAGATTTTGGTTATCAGATACTCTAGAACTTTATTTTACGTGACAAACTTGCTGATGCAAGAATTAATCTGAATTAGTCTGTAATATTAATTTAAAAATCCTTATGGACAAGCATCTTTTATGATTAGGAATCTTAAGGATGGCTCACAAACTTCTTAAGAGCATGAAGAGTTGAAATCAGATGATTTTGGAGATCCCACGTGTCTAACTTTGACCCCAGCAGATACTGATTACATAAAACTGTGGAAAGCAGAAATTGCTGAAGATGTTTCCTGAGAGCCAGTTCAGGGACCAGATCAGACTTCCTCCAGCTCATGGACTGGAGCCTGCAGCAGCAACATGCTCAGCCAGGCAGAAGGAAAGCACTGTCTGCAGCAGGGGCAGAAATTTGGGGTCAGTAATTGTTAATAATAGTCAAATGCGAAATACAGTCTGACAACAGAATTTCTGGATTCAGTACCTTCTCACACAAAGCTATACATGATGTGAAGACAGAAAATGGCAGAGCTGGTTTTGTCCATCAGTTTTCCTGGCCCTGGGATCAGTGATCACACAAAATCAGCACTCCCACTCTTCAGTCAGCCATGAATTCACCTTTTCAGCCTGCTACAACAGAGAGCCCAGGAGAACAGAGATCACGAGTGAAAACCCAAAGTACCCCAGGGTCACCTGTCCCAATTTGCTTTCCATTTCTTCCTTCCTCAGCAGGATGAGCATTTTCTTCCTTTGTGAGTCTGTGCAAAACCACTCACCTGCAAGACCCCACCTGAGGCAGACCCTCTGTGACCCCTGGGGAAACCACTGCCCTCCCCAGCCAGCCCCAGCCCTCCCATCTCCACCAGCTGGGACAAGGGGGGACTTCTCCACTGACCCCAGCTCCCCCTAAAGCACCACCAGATCATAGCCTCAAGTCTCAGCTGTTAACAAAAATATTTACTGATTTTATGCCTCATTGCATTGCTGAAATCATTTTGGAGTTTAACTCACTGGTAGAAAGTTTGTGGTGCATCTCTGAGTTTTTCCTGTGGCAGCAATGTCTCTGTTGGGTAATTCCACACTGCTGCCCAGGATGAGCTTCAGGACAAAATGGTTTGACCAATGCTTGGTAAGAGTTGGTGTCTCTCCTGCCTGTGCTGCTTTTCTGCTCTTTTCCCAACATCTGTTTAAAATGTGTTCTTAAAAACAATTAGGGACACTTATTTTTCCACTTAAAGATGATTTGGGTGTGTTGTGTCTCTTGCTCTGCAATTCATACCCACAGGACTGACTCCATTTATTTATTTATTTAAAGTAAACCAAGGTTTCATTTTGCAGAGAATAAAAGCTGGGACACATCACTAACTGAGGAGCAATAGAGGAAAGGCACTTGGCCACAGATATTTTCCATTTATGAGGTAAAATCCATCAAACTCCTTCAATATTTTTAGGAATTAAGAGTAGTTTGATATCTAGAGACGTGTGAAGGCAAGGCCAGCTTCCAGCCAATATTTTGTGCAAAGTCCATGATTTCTCTGCAAGCTAAGAAAAGAATTTTATTAACTTTACAAAGGCAGGGGGAAGGTTGTTCAGATTTTTTAGAGACTTTGAAGTGAGACTTTCCACCCCAAGGGCTTCTCAGGATAAAGATGTGCCCGAAGAGAAAGCCACAGGAAAACAGTGACGTACTTTGCCAAAAAACCTCACACTTAGTCATAATTCTCTGCACACAAGCTGTGACTGTTCTGCCCATTGAGGTACAGATGCTGTAGGCTTCAAGGATATCCCCTCTAGGGTGAGCAGCCATAGCTCCTCCAGATTTAATTCCAGGTGGACAGACATTAATATATTGCATTGCTGAGCTGTTACCAGAACAGGCTATACCTGATTTCAATAAAAATACAACTAAGTGTGTATTAAATTACTAATGCTACCAAGATTGGCCATGTGACCTCTTTGTCACACACCTCTGAGATTGCTTCTGCCCTCTGATGGCACAGACTCTGTGGAAGGTGGCAGATAGAACCCACAGTGAACACAATTGTGCCCTTCTGGCACTTCCTCTTTTTTTTTCCAACAAGGAAGCGAGAATTTGAAGCAGATAATAAATACAATAATAACTTTCTTTAGGAAATGGAAAGTTCCACCAATGCCAGTTTTGGTTTCTGTCTCTGGAAAAGGCTGATAAAGATTTTAATTTAAAGTGTAGCTTTTATTTGTTTTATTATTAGGATGTGAATAATGCTTCAGTAGTGCAGTCACGTTCAGCTGCTGAGCAGAGGAACAGCCAACATTTTGCAAACTGTTTAATGTCCCAGCAATGACAAAGGCAGCCATGCATCCAGTCCTTAGTGTATGATATAAACATTTTCCTCTGCATGATTCTCCTCTTCCAGGGCACTGTGGCTTCCCACACCTCGTGGCCTCCGAAATGCAACAAAGCTGCACAAAAGAGTAAAAATAATGTTAAACCAAAAACAGACAATAAAACCACAGAAGAACAGATCAGCCAGATCACTAGAACATGTAAAATATGCTTAAACATGTGATCATGACTGATAATGAATCATCTTTCCACTTATGAGACAATTCACACCTGAGGTTAGCAAGCTCCCTAATGTTGTGAACTGACAGTGACACTTATTTTTGCTTAATAAGTAACAAAAAGTAGCAGGAGTTATTAGTTTCTTTTTATAATATTTTCTATGAACTTGAAGTTAAAAAAGAAAGCCAAAGTATGTGGTGGAATGGTCAGCACACCAACATTTTTTTTCTACAACCTCATTTGTCCTATTAGCAAAAGCAGGAACAGAAAACTTACCCTGCAGAACCACCCATCTTCTTCGTGTTGTAAAAATATTCTAAGGACCATTCAGAATGAAAAGAAAGAACAAAAATAATTAATTTTGTTTAAACCATTAGAAGCAAGTAAAGTAGTAGGTTCAAAGATAAACTCAAGTGTAAGAAACAAAATACAGGAACTTCAAAAATGTTTTCAGGATAGGAAATTCCCTTTGTCAGCAGCCACAGCACAGGGGCCTCCAGGGACCTCAGCTCCCTGCCCTGAAGTGGGAGATGTGGCATCAACCCCAGCTGTGGCTGGACAAACCTAAACAATCCTTGAGTAACTGCCTGTGAAAAGTACTCACGTTTAGTGAGGAGCAGAGCCAAAATCAGGATGAGCAGAAGTGCTGCACATAAGCCAAGCCCAATGTAGAGCCCACGCTCTGGGTGCTGCTGACTGGGGAGTGACACAGACGTGTTCTGTCAAACACAAGCCAAGGAGCATTAGAGGAACTGACAGCAAGAAACTCGTGCAACACCCAAAGGCCTTCTGTGTGTTTTTCAACTGTGCAGGAAAAGCACACCTGAGACCAAAACCTAGTTTGAGAAACAGGCCCAGTTTCAAGCAGAATCTCTGCAACAATTGTGTGAACCGTGCTGTTAAACAGTCTTTGAGGTTTTCAGAAGACCTGAAGTTATGACAAATCCCATTTATTCAGGTTTCATAATATTCGGTGATTTTTTTTTTTTAATGAGTAAGATGTCTCATGATGTCACACCCTCCCATGTGTGCTGCAGGACTCAGCAGGACACACGGAGCTGCCTGTCTGACCCCCTCTGCAGGGGGAGTGCAGGGCACCCCTGTGCTCTCAGGTGGCCCAAGCTCCACTCCGGCCATACCTGCAGGTTTGCAGTCACATCCAGGCAGTCTGAGGGGCCTGAGCAGGGAGTAGGGGCCTGAAAAGAAATACAGATGTCGCTAAAGCTCTTCCCCCTCAAGAAGGAAGTACTTTATGCATGATAAGCAGGGTTCTTCCCCCCACCCCCCCCAATAATGAGCACATAAGCATTCTTCATAACCACTAAACACGCAGACTACAAAACAATATTCTGTTGCAACCAGGCAAAAGCAGTGGAAGTGACCTGTAGGGATGACCCAGTAACCTCTCAAGTCCACCCACTCTGTCTAGGTGTGCTACAGCAAGGTTGATGCTTACAGTCTGAGCAGCTTCTGAGGCAGAATCTGATGGCCAGGTCCTTGTGACAGTGAAGGAGGAGTCACTGGTGCTGTCAGGACCTGAGCAAAGGCAAGACAAACACATCACTTGCACAGAGAACTGCTCTGCCTCTACAGATAAGAATTTGTACTGCTGACATTGGACTCTGAACTTCTGTGTGTATCAGCAGTCTGGGCTCTGCATATCATGAGGTTGGTGCCTTTAGAGGGCAGCACAAAACTCTGAATATTGAAGTTTCTGCTGTCCTTTTCAGAGCTTTGAACTCCTTCTTAGAAATACTTGGCTCCCACTGTCATCTCAGCACTGGGAAGGAGTTACCAGTCGGTGCTGGAGCCAAGAAACAGTGGCCATAGGGTCATAAAACAGATTGGGTTAAAAGGGATTTAAAGCCCATATCATCCCCTGCTATGGGCAGGGACACCTTCCACTAGACCAGGTTTCTCAATGCCCCATCCAACCTGGCCTTGAAGCAAAAAATTATGCACAAAGCAAACTTAGGATATCAGCTGAAAACTGACGAAGATTAGCTCAGGGCCTTGAAGCAGCACATGATGCAGAGTCACAGAAAGCAGGTGATACTTTTAAAGCTCCAGGCAGCTATACAGTAAACAGACTGAAAAAAATGTGATATATTTGCATAAGGACCTGCAGCACATTTTGAGGTAATTTCCCAGAGCACAGCTGCTTGCAACATTTAAAATTAAGAGCTACAAATTTCTCTCTCATCTATCATCAGTCCCAGTTTTTCCATGTGTTGTCAGATGACACAAAAAACTCCTGAACACAAAATCTCCAGTTCCCTCTGTGCCAACCTCAGCTGGTTGCTTTTATGTTTTAAATTGTTACCCTTATCCCAGAAGCTTTATTTTGAAGAGGACAGGATCATCAGCTTCCACTGCAGATTCTAGAGTATTTCTAAATCAGAAGCACGTGGCCACCTTTTCCCATCTCCCTCAGTGTGACCATGCACACACCACCTTGTATTCTGAAAACTTCAAACACTGTTCCACCACCAGCTAAGGAAGAGGTCACAGGGATAAGAAAATCCCTGAGTTCTAAGATTGGAATCAGTGTTATTTGCAACTAGAATAGAAACTGTCTGAGAAAGTTTTCACTTCTTCTTCCAAAAAGGAAATGCAACTGTTGTAACACTAATTTGGAGCTGCTTAGCTGGAAACATACAAGATAGAGGGAGAAATACAAATGGCATCCCTGATTCTTTTTTTTTTTTTTCAGAATCTAGGAAATAAGCTATTGCTACACCACGAGGTTTCTCTTGTGTAGTGGAAATTAAAGATGTCTTTTTCAGACTGGAAAGATGCAGCTGAGCGGCTTCATGATAGAAGTTTATCCTTTTGTGAAGGGAATGGAGAAAACAAATGAGGAATAGCTGAGCACTGTCTCTTCCCCTGCAACAAGGAACCTCACAATATTAAATGTGCACAGAGGCTGTGGGCAGCCTCAGGGACACACATTACACCAGGGTGGAAGAATAATTTGGCACTGTGTCACAAAATTAATGACATTTTTCTACCATTCTCCTTGATTGTCTGCTGCTGACTGCTATAGGAGGAAGGACAATTTAATGTTCTCAAATTGATGTTCTTTTGAGCTAGTCCAATAAAACAGTTCTGATTAAATAGTGGGTACACACAACTCCTACAAGTTATGGTTTACCATTCATGGGATGCATTTCTAGAAGAAATCAGGTGAGATTTTATACCACAAAAAAAACCCCAACAAACCAAAACAACAGTCAAATAAAAGCAAACCTTGCAGCACCACTAAAACATCTACTTAAGCATCACACCTGGAAGCAGCTTCCTCCCAAATATACAAGTTCCTTCTGTTAGACTCTCTATAATACCAAGCAGAATTTAAATCCAAGTTCTGATCTTTTGTAATGTTTAATAAATTTTAGCCAAGACACTTCCATCATTTATCATCAGTTTTTTTCTTTCCTAAGATTCCCCATTTGCAATATGGCTTGTATATGCTATTGACACTTGGATAAAAATTACCTGAGGTCTGTTCAGAGGTGTAAGTGTGAGGACTTGCAGTAGAGATCCTTGCTGATGTTAAAATATAAAACAAAATAAACACATAATTAACCTTATTGGGCATTTGCATATTGAGAAAGAGACACTGTTTTTATAGTAAAAATTTGCAAGCAAAGCACAAGTACATTTGTCAGCCACTTGTTCTATATAGTATCACAAGCAAGGGAAAAACTAAAAATCAAAGGAAGAATGGATAAAAAGCTTCTCATTTGTGCATCCCTGGGCTTTAATCTAGAATGAAGCAAGGAAAATCAAACACAGGTTTCAATGACAAAGGTGCAGCAACAAAGCTTTGGATGAATACTTTATGCTGCCCTTCCTTTTAAATTCTTTGGTGTCTCTAAGAATGCTCCGTGAAAACATCATGTCCTTTTCTAACTGCAGTGGGATAACAATATCGCCAAAAGCAGCTTAATTGAGGTAGCACTAACAGCAGATGTGCAAGGTCCCCAAGATCAGTCTTATGGATGATTGCAGAAATCATTTCCACCACCAGCTTTGAAGTCCAGACCCAGGAGCAGATCCACCACAATGGCACTCACAAGAGCACTCCTCTGCACTCACCTTTCCTCACCACAACCTGGAGGTTAGTCAGTTGATCATTGAAGAGCCCTGGGATCTCCACACGGCAGCAGTATGTCCCAGAGTCTGCTTCCCTGGCGTCCACGATGGTCAGGGACACGTCCCCCTCCTGCAGGTCCCCTTTCAGCTGGTACCTGCTGCTGTGCTGCTCTGTCACCCTCCAGCCATCTGTCCAGATAATGGGCTGGGAACACTTTGAATTGGGGCACCTCTCCCGACCCCAGCACATGGATGTGATGCTGCCTCTGTTCCAGACACTGTAGTGGCAGGGCACAGTGATGTTCTGACCCACCTCTCCTATCACAACAAATCCTGATACTGTGGAGCCTGGGGACAAAAAGACAAATAGTTACAGAGCACAGGGCAAGTGGAAGCTTCTTGTGCATCTTGCTTGTCCTGAAAGCTCCCATCTCAAAGAAGACCAGGCTTTCCTGGATCAGATTTTGCACAAATAGATGTGTCCTGGCAGGATTGATGCAGTGATAATGATCAGGCCAGTGACACGTTCAGAGAAATAACATTTTCTGCAGCCTCTGCACATAGGCAATGCAGTGGAGAGACTCTGGGGCTTCTCTTGAGCCAGGTGCAGTCTCTTGGCTCTTTTCCTTTGTGCACATTTAACCCAAGTCACACACACAAAGGAACAGTAAGTAATTGACTTTTCTCAAAACCACTGTGGGAAACTCTTCCCTTTCAATGAACTAAACTCCAGGTTTCATCTGAATGATCAACGCTGAATGATTTTCCTTTTCTCTTGCCTTAAGGCAGGTTTTGCCCATTCTTATCAGAAGAAATGTTAAAGGGCTTTTCTGAGGAATATTATATAAAGTCACTTTTTTTTTTTCCACTACTTTATTCTCTCTTCTAAGTCTTACATAGTTTCTAACTTGTTTGCTTCCCCATAATTTGTCACGCATCCAGGAGCCTGTGTCACACTACTCAGGTCAAGACAGTGAGCCCTAATACCCAGTAGACCATCCACAACAGCGAAAAAATACACTAGAAATAAGTTTCGGAAACTTATCTTCTTTAATATGAAAAGGAAGCTCAAAATGTAACTCATCATAAAAGGCTTTATAAAGAACTAAAAGAAATATCTGTAACATCCCTTTTCTTTCTACTGAATTTATCTTACCACCAAGTTTTTAATGTCTGTCTGTCTTTATTATTACCACTTTGCAACATATTGTTTTCATTGCTGTTGCCCTTAACAATCTAGGTCTGTTCCCTCAAGATTTAAAAAAAAAAAGGGAAAAATTATCAATTTGTGCCAATATTTCATATGGCTAAAAACCACCAGAAGCCACAGTTGATTTTTTCCCTGTCTACCTAAGCATTCATCTTCACAAAGCCTGCCAAAATGAAATGTCCTTGTTTTACATCTTCTCTAAAACAATTTAAAGGTCTCTGCTCAAATCATCGTCTAAAAAAGCCCACTAGTAAGATGAGCAGCCAGCCCAAGAAGCAGCACCTTTAAAACCACCATACCCTCAGCATGTTTCTGTTTCACAAACGAAAGAAGGCCATTAAAACTCTATTGAGCCACTGTGAAGAAGTTTTATTTTAACACAGAGAACTGCAGCCTCTGTGACGTGGCCACTCTTCCTTCTGCAAGATAAAATTCTCTTTGCCACCCTCAGAATCCCTGATGTGTGTTACCTCCACCCACCTCCACCCAGTTGTTTCTGCCCCCTTACCTGTGAGCAGCACCAGGAGAGCCCAGTTCAGGCAGATGTGAGACAACATTCTGGCTGAAGGTGACGAACAACGCTCCTGGTCACCCTTCTCATTCAAGAAACTTCTTCTTTGTGAACTTCTGTGTTTCCTTCTTAGCACATCATCTCCAGACAGAGCTGTGTGTGCCTCTCAGTCCACTCTGGGCTGTTTTGCCCGAGGTTGTGCTGTGTGCTGCAGCACAGCTGCTGGGGCAGGGTACAAGTGCAATGAGCTCCTGCTGGCGGGGCTTTGACTGAGAGGTGACAACACTTCACAACAACCACGCAAAACTGCTTCTCGTTTTTTTCCAGATCTGTTTGATGACTGTAAGTGAAACTTGACAGCAGCACTGAGCTGATACGACTGTCAGCAATCCACTGCCCCAGACTGCTTCCCACACCTGCTTTTGCCACAGCAGACAGGGTTTGGATAAAAGATTACATAATACATAGCAGACTGTGGGAAGTGGAAAGGGCTTGGCCGAGTAACAGATTTGCAGGATGAACTATTCAAGCTTTTCATCATAAGTTTCTGGTTCTAATGCTTAGAAATAACTCAAGAGCATCTTCTGTACATAATACATAGCAGACTGTGGGAAGTGGAAAGGGCTTGGCCGAGTAACAGATTTGCAGGATGAACTATTCAAGCTTTTCATCATAAGTTTCTCGTTCTAATTCTGGTTCTTAGAAATAACTCAAGAGCAAACGTTCTTTGACAGCAATAATTTGGTGGTTTTGGAAAACTGTTACACAATTGAGCCTAATGGAGTGCCAGTCTTTTTTCATATTTAAAAGTGCCACGTGCATGTGCGTAAACATCCAGGAGAGAGAGGAGACTTGAAAAACATGGAAATTGAATAAAGGCTCACTCTGACAAAATGCTGAAATACAGCTTTTGAAAAATGCTGTTCCCTGGCCACCTCCCTGTGCCTGGATCACCACACTCTCCTCAAGGATATCTTGTCTTTTTGTATTGTTTGGGCTAAAACTGCACCTGTGATCAAGGGCCAAGAAATGTCGTTTGCTGAAGCAGCTAAACTACTTCACAGTGTTTTATACAGGTGAATTTAAGTACTAAGGAGTTATTTATGAGTAGAGTGGAAGATGCTAAAATTGGAACCTTGCCTTGCGTGACTACCTTATGGGAGAACAGAGGCACCAAACTGACAGGTGTTTTAAGTGAAAAATCAGGAAAACCAAGGGATTAATGTAGCTGAGAAACAAACTGGCAACACATTTGTAAGAAAGAAGTGATACAAAGAGGGATGAAGGGAGATTCCTGCATGCAGTAGCTGGAAGCAGAACTCCTTAAGAAAAGGCTTCCTCTCAGCTCCTGTGGTTTCTGAGGAAACTGCAGACAGCTGCTAGAGGAACAATTCTGATAATTACCAGCAAGATCCTGCAACTGCTCTGCAAAAATAGGAAAGGCAGGGCAGGCTGGCTCTGCCAGGATCCCAGGAAAGCCATTCTGGTCACACAATAAAAGGATGTGACAGCTACAGGACAACAGTTAACCCATTTGCTTTAGATTTCACCTCAAACACAGACCATAAGGAATGCCTTGATGTAATCTCAGCTTCTGTCTGCCTGTTTTCCAAGTTCCTGTGTGTTGTTTGTGCAAGAAAAAAACACCACTTCTGTAGGGATTTCTTCTTGACTCAGCATACAGAATTATAGAATGGCACACCCAAAACAAGCAGCAAGTGACAAACAAAAGTACAACAGGAAAATCCAACTTTAATCTGTGCCTACTGCCTCACAAAAATTAGACTTTTTTATTTTTACCAAAAAAAACCACAAAACTTTAAACATTTTCATCTTCCCAGTCACTCACAACCTCCAAGAGGTGCACAACGAATGCTTTATCAGCTTGTACAACAGCAAAACAAAACACAACGTGCGTCCTCAGAACCCCTTCTGTCTCTCACTGTGGTGCATTAACAAAACCAGCTGTTTCCTTCACGTCATTTCATCGATGATGCTGCACATCGCTGCATCTTTGTCCAAAACCTGATCCCTCTTGCCACCAGAACGCTCCCTCTGCTTTTCGCTCTGCCCAGCGCAGCTGCTGCCATCATCAGCATCCATGGGCTCCACGCTGACCCTGAGTCCCCCCTCTGTGTGAGGCAGATCATCGGGCAGGGAAGCCAGGCAGTTCTGGATCATCTCCACCACTCGCTCCAGGTGCTTCTGGAAGCGCTCGGCCGTCTCCAGGCGCTGCCGCTTCTGCACCTCCATCATCACCCTCAGCGTCTCCCGGGCCTGGTGAGGCCGGTACTCGTTTATAAGGTGGTGCACGTGCACAAAAAGCAGCTTCAAGTCTTCTAATTTCTCCTCTCGCTTTATACTCCCTGGACTCCTTATCAAGATGTCCAAGAGGTCCAGGAAGTTGACCAGGATGGACATGTTAAGTTTCCTTAACTCCTTCTTGTGATCAAACTGCATGGGATGCAGCCGTTCAATACCCTGGCTCTCCAGGGGCCGAATGATCAGATCATCACACTGGAACTGGTTCCCAAACATCATGTAGCTGTCCTTCACAGGCGGAGGTGGCTTTGGAGCCAGCCCTTTACGGATATTTTCATCAGTGTATTCTTTGATATACTGCATTGGAGGAGGAGGAAGGGCACTCACTTGCTGAGGTTCACCCATTTTTGCCAGATGAGATTCCTAGGGAATGACCCAAGAAACAAATGTTAATTTGTGTCACAAGGTTATAATATAAATGTAAACAAAGACAAAATATGGGAGATGGCTGTGAGAAAATGAGCCAGAAGAGATAAATCTGTGTGCAGAATACAGGAAACTCCAGGCAAATCCACATTACCTTTTCACTATGGTTTACTTATAGCAAAATTAACTGTACTAGAAGCACGTAGAACACTTATGTCCCTAAATATGAAAGACCAACCTGTAAACTGGGCAGCCAAAGGGAGAGGGGTGACCCCCTTCTGTAGGTGAGAGCTGGTGGGCAAACCCCCCAGAATCACAGAATATCCCCAGCCGGAAGGGATACACAAGGATCTGCACAGGACATCCCAATAATCCCCCCACCGTGCCTGAGAGCACGTCCCAAAGGCTTCTTGAACTCTTTCAGGCCTGGAACTGTGACCAAGGAGAGCCTGAGGAACCTGTGCCCGATTACATTCTGAAGAAAGAACCTTTTCCTAATATCCACGTAACCCTCCCCTGGCACAGCTCCAGCAATTCCCTCGGTCACAGAGGGCAGAGGTAGGCGCTGCCCCTCGCGGGGAAGCTGCAGCCCGCCGTTGGATCCCCCCTCACTCTGCCCTTCTCCAGGCTGACCAGACCAAGCGCCCTCAGCCGCTGCTCGTGCGGCCTCCCTTCTTCACCCGCGCCCTCGAGAGAAACCAGGCAGGGCCCACACCCGCCGCCCTGCGCCGAGCCGGGCTCTGGGGAGGCCCAAACCCCGCGGCGGGGCTCGCCAGGCCAGTGCTGAAGAGATAAGAGCCGAAACCGCATCCCGGCGGAGAACACGGACCCCTCAGAGGCTCCAGCGACCCTCACCTGCCCGCTCCTCAGCGCCGCCACAACCGCTTCCGCCCGGCCGCCCTCTGCTATCGCTTCCCATTGGTTGGCGGCGTCGTGGTGCCTCACTCTGATTGGCTGTCAAGCAGAGCAGTCAGACACTTCTCCACTCAGCTCGCTCGGGGGCGGGGCCACACGCGGGGCGTGGCTCCCGTCATGGCGGGGTGGGGACTGCTCCGTCCCGGGGCCGCGGGGAGCCCTGCGGGGTCTGTGGACCACTGGGTTATGTGGCCTCTCAGGGGTCTGTGACCCCTCAGCGTTCTGTGCCCCTTCAGCGTTCTGTGCCACTTCAGCGTTCTGTGACCCCTCAGCGTCCTGTGCCCCTTCAGCGTTCTGTGCCCCTTCAGCGTTCTGTGACCCCTCAGCGGTCTGTGACCCCTCAGCGTCCTGTGGCCCACTGGTTCTGGGACCCCTCAGGGTTCCGTGGCCCCTCAGGGTGCGGGGCTCCCTCGCCACAAGCCGCTGTGAGGCGGCAGGACCCGTCGGGGCGGGAGGGACCAGCCCGGCGTCCCTCGGGGGTGCAGGGACAGCGAGGATGGTGCTCGTCAGGGAGACACAGCCTCACAGAAATCACAGCAATCACAGAAATCACAAAATCAATTAGGTTGGAAAAGACCTCTGAGGTCCCCTGGGAAATGTTTGCAGCAGAATACGCTAAATCTGACCATAACTGTGACAAACAGTTGGGCTCCGTTGCTTTTCTTTCAGTTTCCTTCCAGGGGGAGTTGAAGTTAACGTGGTGGATGTCAGTTTTTCACCGGGTCAGGTGGAGCAGGGCTTGCTGGCATCGCTTCTGCAGGATTTTCCCCCTGAATGGCCAACAGAGAAGGATTTTTCAACACTTGGTCGATTCTGTGCCGTTCTCGCTCCCTCAGCAGATGGCAGCAATGGCCTTGGTGACAGGGACCCATCACCACACACGCGGTGTCATTTACAGATTCACTCTTCCAGATCGATTATTTACTAAAAAAAAAATTCAATCGAATGATAATTACTTTGGATCCTGTTAATTATTTCTAGGAACATGCAAAGAATATCCAGAATCATAGGATTTCTTTGATAAGAAAGCCTGAAGTGATGCACAGAATATCTGAATATTTATATATTCTAAACTAAGCTACACTTTACAATTTACAATGAGTTGAATATTTAAATATTCCAAACGAAACTACACTTTATAATTTACAATGAGTTGAATATTTAAATATTCCAAACTGAACGACACTTTACAATTTTCAGTGAGTACAAGCCTGGCTGCAAAATAGGCTGATTTGTTTTCATTTGTAAGCAATTTGCTGAATTCAGACAAGGATGCAGTTCCATGCTGCAACTAAAACATTACTGCTTTGGAAAAGGTGATCTCATTCCTTCACCCCTATTCCTGCTTCCTCATCCCTCTCTCCTTTCTTCCCTCCCTGCTCCTCCAGCCTCTCACTGGCTGTGCAGCATTTTCTTGTCACTGCTTGTGCCACCACCATCAGA